TTTGAACATGTCCTTGGGTAAATGCCATCTTTTTTTTTCATCTCAAATGGTTATTTTAAGGTGTTTATGTATGCCTCCTTCAGTGTGAATGTTCCCCTTAAGCACCTATTGTTTAACTGAAAATTGAGGCATGAGAGTGAATTCATTTCCAGACCTGTATGGGTGACAGGCTCAGGGCCAGAACCTGGAGGTTTCCACCAGACCCTAGTCAACCAGTAAGCCTGGTCTTTTTGATGTGTTGAACTTTGTTCTGAGTTTTTCTCCCACTCTTTTTTTTTTTTTTACATTTCAGGTGACAAGGTTTACAAACTCTCTACACGAAGCATGTGCATGTCAGGGCTACATTTAGAAACAATTGATTAAAAAAAAAGAAAAGAAAGAAAGAAACAATTGCCCAGTTAGTTGGAGTTCAGGTAGACAGAACTACTTCTCACAGCGCTTACAGGGCTTCAGTCAATGTCTGGAGGATGTCCAAATGAGTGCAAAGAAGTATCCAGAGAATTTTCTAATTCTAGTTAAGTGGATGGAGGGAGTTTACAGAGCAGTCAGACACCATTTGTGAGTGGAATACAGACAGCTGCCGGTATGATGGTCTCTTTGCTTCGTTCTCATTTTCAGTGAAGAAGACAACACCCATGCGAAGACCAGGAAGAAAGGAGCTAGGAGGTCCTCTTTTCCTCTTCCTGCCTCTCCCTGAGGCCCATCTGGAGCTTGGACTGGAAGCAGAAAGCATATGGTCACAGTCATAGGGTGGAGTTGGGGTTGATCAGATCTCTGAGGCTTGGGGATCCACACCCTTCAAGATGTTTGCATCTTCTGAAGTCTGAACTAAGGAGAATTGCTTTTGTTGCGCTATCATCCAGACGAGGGATGCCACAGGGTCATAACAGCATCCAAGGATTCACAGTCAGGAAGCCAATTACAGAAAGGTAGAACAAAGGAGACATACATAGCATCATAGGGCAGTGCGTTCATGAAGTGCACACCTCTGCGCCCTGGTACAGGTGAACCAGGTGGTGCCCTGATACTGGTCGCCAGCGTCTAGCAGCAGCACATTGGGCTCAGAGTTGCAGACCTGCTTCACTTTGGTGAAGAGCGGTGCCACGCCTCCCACGCAGAGGCTGGTGTTGACACACTTGCCTCTTTGGTCTGTTCCAGCCGGCTGTGTACATTGCTGGTGTGCAGAATGGTGAGCTTCCAGGCGCCTGCGGAGGACCACACAGAAGCGCTCCCAGAGCAATGAATGGCTGCGCTGCGCTAGTGGGGCTCGGGGAGGCATGGCTGTGGCACGGGGACGGGGCGCGAGAGTGGGTGCCCGCAGCAGCAAGGGACGCGGCAGGGGCGTGGTGGCGCCGCCCGAGTTTCTCTCCCACTTTATCTAGGACTATTTAGTGTGACCCCTTTCTGAGCATTGGTAGCGGTAGCTAGGCACCATCTCGTTCTTCAGGAGCATATAGACTGATGTTCAAATGGTCCATTAGTCCCTTGGACTGTTTCCATGTATTGTTGATTTTCATCACTCTTTTCTCCAGACCGGGAGAGACTTCAGATGGCCATTCATGAGCTTTTACTCACTACTTACTAAAGCAGGATGTAAAACTTTGTCTAGTTTTGTGGACTATGTTATGCTCAAGCTAATTTTGTTGTTGTTCTTGTTGTTAGCTGGTGTTAAGTAGGCTACAACTCAGGGTGGGGACCTTTCCTGGGCCTGGGCTACTTTTAAACTCTTGGTGTATGAGCCCAGTGTTGTGGCTGTTGTGCTAATCCATCTCCCTGCAGTCTCTTGTTTTTGTTTACCCTTTCCTCTGTTAACCCTGATGTCCTTTTCTAGCAAGTGGTCTTTCCTGATTACGTATCCAAAGTGAGCTGATGGCTCACCATTTTAATTTCTCAGGAGCATTCTAGTTGTTTTTCTTAAAAAAGAAAACCCAACACCAGGAACAAGTGTTTTATCTATGAAATGATGGTTTGAGAACATTTCAACTGAGAGTCTATTAATTTTCTTTATTAGTTACAGACCTCATGCAGTCCAGAGATAGAGTGGCAAGTTCTGTGGTCAGAGCAGAAGTCTGAAGATGCTAGCCCTAGTCTTAGCCCATACTTGTTTTTTTCCATGTAAGGAACAAACAAACAAACAAAACCCTGCCAGTGGGTTGATTCGGACTCTCAGTGGGCAGGGATGCTATTAACATTATTGTTAGATTGATCTACATACAGCACCTACCTTGGTGCCTTGAAATCTGGAGCTGTCTCAATAAAAGTGTGTTGAAAGAATGGAAGGTTGACAGAGCGAATACAAGATATTTCCTTTTTCTAGTCCCAGGCTGCCCTTCTGCTGGACTGGGTAATGTCAATGGAACCTGACCCTGGGACAGTAAAAGGAGGCTGTTAGGGGTGGAGATGGAAGGTGCTGGGTTTACATCAGAGATTTGCTTTCCACTTCCTATCAGATTATGAGTTTCCTGGGTGGGTGTGAAAGCCTGTCTGAATCACACTGGTTGCTCCCACCCCCACTCAGCTCCCAGCTTGGTGCTGACTCCAGAGCTGCCTCTGAGGCAGACTAGAATGGCATGGCTGGAAGTTTAGTTTGGGTCCTGGGGAGCAGGAAGAGAGCAATTTCCCCATCCCCAGACTGCTGGGGGGGTGGGGGAGTGGAGAAGGAAGAGGGTGTCTACTCCTATAAAGAGTTACAGTGTTAGAGACCCATAGGGGCAGTTATACCCTGTCCTAGAGGGTTGCTATGGGTTGGAACCCACTAAATAGCAGTAAGTTTGGTTTGGGTTTTTAGGGAAGTGGAAATGGGATAGAGAACAAAGGCATATCTCCTTGATTTTGAAAGAAGAAATTATTTCTGGAGTAGGAAAAAGACAACTTCTCTAGGATACAATGAAATGCAGATTCCTATTTTCTTAAGAATCAATCAGGGGAAAAATTATTTTGGCCCATCAAACCTAAATCTCTACTTGGGTTTTCTTTCCTTCCCTTATCTACTTTCTCTCTTTGTAAAATAAATAACAACATTGTTTTTTACCTTTCTTATTTCTTTTTAAAATTTTATTTTTATTTCTTTTTTTTTTCTTTTCTTTTTTTAAGATTAAAAGCAATTATTTTCTACATTGGAGCAGGAAGCAGCTTGCCAGGCTGGATTTGGCCCACACTGAGAGGCAAAGGGGCCTTCTCAACTCAATTTTCCTTCATCTTTTTAAGTCCCCTACTTCCCCTCCAGAGAGACAAAAGAAATAATTGATCCATCATCCAGTTCTAGGCCCAGGAGATTTACATACAAATCCCCCCTTTCCCTCCAGAGCTCCACTCTCAAATGTGAAATTCAAGAATGGGGGGCGGAGGGGGGGTGGCCAAGGAAAAAATCTATGGAAACTAGCCGAAATTCTGTAGGCCACCCTCTTCCCAACCCCCACCCCCCCCCGACCCCCCGGTGAGAGATGGGAGAGTTAGGGAATAGCACACTTTCACCACGGCCACCCAGCCTCCGCCTCCGCCATAAGAACCACTCATTGGGGTGTGGAACCACTTGGGGTCTAGATCAAGCTCCTTTCTCCCCCTAAGAGAAGATAACCGGAAGCTTTGGGGGGCGGGGCAGAGGTGGGGAGGGAAAGGGAAAATTTACCCAAACGTTCGTCCGGTCCCTGTAGGGCCTAAAAGAGTCCTCTCTGCACTCGGGGCTGCCTGTCCCACACTACCCCTCCTCCCATTAACCTTCGATTAAGACCTCCTCGTTAAGGTAACTGAACTTTACTTTGCATAATTAAGATTTGCCTCGGAAGAGGGGGGAGGTAGGAGGCCCGGCTCCAGGCCATTCTCCTTCACCTTACTCTCCCCACCCCCCACAACCCTTCAGCCCCAGGCCTCTGAGTTCCTGAGTTTTCTCACTTTGAGGTGCCACCGAACACAAAGAACCATAATGGGCTCCTTTGTGCACGCTACGGGGCAATTACGGCCCCGGAGTCTTGGCCCCTTTAAGAGCCTCTTAAAGAGACAGGGTCTCTTTTTTCAGAAGGTTATTTAAGGGTGTGGGGAAGGGAAAGAGGAGGGGCGAGACGAACTCTTAGGAGTCTACAAATGGACTGAAATGAAACTTTTGCCTGAACTCCTTGAAGCGAGGTGAGAGAAGTCTTTGTAAGCACTATTTCTTTCTTCTCTCCCCTTTTAAGTCTCGTGTGTTCAAAACATTTTTTTCACTTGGATCTGAAAATTTTGACTGGCTTTTATGGAGTTCCAGGAGCAGGAGTGAGGGGGCAAAAATATAAAGAGCCCTGGAGATCGCCTTGGTTCCCAGAAGAGCAGCGATCGTGGGTCGAACAACCCGAGTGTACCGCAGATTTAGAGCCCAAGTCTCTACCTCTCGTCGTGGCGACTCCGGAGAAACCCCGGGCTGGGCCAACTGCCCTTAATGTAATCATAGCTTGTCTCTTTAAAAAGCAAAAGCGGCGCGGGGCGGGGGCAGAGTTTTGTTGGCATCTGGTTTCTGATCTCAATATGTTGTGGTCCACCAATCCAGCCCTCAGGGCTGGTCCCCGGGTTTGAATCTGATTGGCCAACAGCACATTTTGGGACGGGGCTTCGAGCTCGACGGGGCGGTTTCCAAGATCCCTTTTTTGGGGGGCTGGGGAGAGGGCGGGGCCGCCGGCGGGGGCCCCCTTGAAACGGACTAATTGGGATCGGAGAGGCCGAGGTGCGGGCTGGAGGAGGCACAAAGAAGTCGCTAGGCGGAGGAGGGAGCGGAGAGGCAAAAGGAGGAGGAAGAGGAGAGAGGGCACCGGCGCGCGGCGACTCCGACGGCGCAGTCCGAGCGCGACGAGCTAGCTGGCCGGCGCGCCGCCCCTTCCCCCGCCCGACCTCCCCAGACCTGCGGCCCCGAGCAAAGTTTGCTGAAAGGCGCGGAGGCGGCGGCCCGCAGCGGCAGCGAAGGCGCGCAGTCTCCTGGCCGGGGGTGGGGGCGGGGGGGACGCCCGGGAGCCGGGTGGGGGGCGGCGGCCAGCATGCGGCCCCGCAGCGCCCTGCCCCGCCTGCTGCTACCCTTGCTGTTGCTGCCCGCCGCCGGGCCGGCGCAGTTCCACGGAGAGAAAGGCATCTCCATCCCGGACCACGGCTTCTGCCAGCCCATCTCCATCCCGCTGTGCACGGACATCGCCTACAACCAAACCATCATGCCCAACCTTCTGGGCCACACGAACCAGGAGGACGCGGGCCTGGAGGTGCACCAGTTCTACCCGCTGGTGAAGGTGCAGTGCTCGCCGGAGCTGCGCTTCTTCCTGTGCTCCATGTACGCGCCCGTGTGCACCGTGCTGGAGCAGGCCATCCCGCCGTGCCGCTCCATCTGCGAGCGCGCGCGCCAGGGCTGCGAGGCGCTTATGAACAAGTTCGGCTTCCAGTGGCCGGAGCGCCTCCGCTGCGAACACTTCCCGCGCCATGGCGCTGAGCAGATCTGTGTGGGCCAGAACCACTCAGAGGATGGCGCCCCAGCGCTGCTCACCACCGCCCCGCCGCCGGGCCTGCAGCCGGGTGCAGGGGGTACCCCGGGCGGCCCCGGTGGCGGCGTGCCCCCTCGCTACGCCACGTTGGAGCACCCGTTCCACTGCCCCCGGGTCCTCAAGGTGCCGACCTATCTCAGCTATAAGTTCCTGGGCGAGCGAGACTGTGCAGCGCCCTGCGAGCCGGCGCGCCCCGACGGCTCCATGTTCTTCTCGCAGGAGGAGACTCGCTTCGCCCGCCTTTGGATCCTCACCTGGTCTGTTCTGTGCTGCGCCTCCACCTTCTTCACCGTCACCACGTACCTGGTGGACATGCAGCGCTTCCGATACCCGGAGCGGCCCATCATCTTCCTGTCGGGCTGCTACACCATGGTGTCGGTGGCCTACATCGCGGGCTTCGTGCTGCAGGAGCGCGTAGTATGCAACGAGCGCTTCTCGGACGACGGCTACCGCACCGTGGTGCAGGGCACTAAGAAGGAGGGCTGCACCATCCTCTTCATGATGCTCTACTTCTTCAGCATGGCCAGCTCCATCTGGTGGGTCATCCTGTCGCTCACCTGGTTCCTGGCGGCGGGCATGAAGTGGGGCCACGAGGCCATCGAGGCCAACTCGCAGTACTTCCACCTGGCCGCGTGGGCCGTGCCCGCCGTCAAGACCATCACCATCCTGGCCATGGGCCAGATCGACGGTGACCTGCTGAGCGGCGTGTGCTTCGTGGGCCTCAACAGCCTGGACCCGCTGCGCGGCTTTGTGCTGGCCCCGCTCTTCGTGTACCTGTTCATCGGCACGTCGTTCCTCTTGGCTGGTTTCGTGTCGCTCTTCCGCATCCGCACTATCATGAAGCATGACGGCACCAAGACCGAGAAGCTGGAGCGGCTCATGGTGCGGATCGGCGTCTTCTCGGTGCTCTACACGGTGCCCGCCACCATCGTCATCGCCTGCTACTTCTACGAGCAGGCCTTCCGCGAGCACTGGGAGCGCTCGTGGGTGAGCCAGCATTGCAAGAGCCTGGCCATCCCGTGCCCCGCGCACTACACGCCACGCATGTCGCCCGACTTCACTGTCTACATGATCAAGTACCTCATGACGCTCATCGTGGGCATCACGTCCGGCTTCTGGATCTGGTCCGGCAAGACGCTGCACTCGTGGAGGAAGTTCTACACCCGCCTCACCAACAGCCGGCACGGCGAGACCACTGTGTGAGGGGTGGCCCCAGCGCCCGGCTATCCACCAAGCCGGCAGGCGCTGACCGACTCATTTTATTTTTTTAAATCACTTTGTAAAGGGAACTCTGCCCACAGCCCCCCCTCCAGGTTTGTAATTAAAACTGTAAATAGTCTCTGTAAATTTAATTATATATTTTCTATTTAAAAAAAAAAAACAAAAAGAAAAAATGGAAAGGGTATGTGTGTGCAGTGAAGGGCACCAGGGCTGAAGAATGGGAGGGGAAGGACGTGACGGTTCTCTATTTTCTTAAGTGCCGCTTTCAAAACGGCTCCCGACTTGGGTTGGAATTTTGGGGTGATCTGGCAGGGATGGGCCTGCTGGAAGAGGCACCTAACTGTGCACTGTTTTTCTTGGCGTGGAGGAGTTGGGAGTTTGTTAACCTTCAACTTCTTGAGAAGCAAAATTTGTGAGCCTCCTCGCTGACGGTGGGCCTTTGGAAGCTGTCGGATTTGCAAATAAGACTTGGATTCTTCATGTTTTATTTGTTTTCTTTTGCCCCTTTTTCTCCCTTCGCTAGTTCTGTCTCCTGGGCGCAATCTTTGGAAACCTCCCAACGGAGGTGAAGATGTGGAGGAAAAAAACAAAAAACCTCGGGAGTGGTGGTAGGGAGAGGGCGGAGATCCGGAGAGCAATGGCCTCCCCCCACCTAGCCCACTCCCTTGCGAACAGGAAGATCTTTCTCCTTTGACTCTTGCTTTTCAGCTTGTTGGCCCAAGCGCTTGGGGTGGGCAGACAGTGCATTTGGGGAAAAAGTCTGTTTTGAAATGAAAACATCTTCCCCCAGACACACACGCACACCCACACACCCGCACCCCTAGTACCAATCCTGACCGGGGCCTGCATTTTTAGGGAGAGCAAGCGGTAACTTTTTAAGTATTTTGTTCTGCAAATGTTGGGGTCTTGGGATTCCTCAGCCCTCCCGGATACTTTCCCCTGCAATCAGCTTCTCCCAGGCCCAGTATCCTCATGGGCATGTCAGGGTCGCCACTTGCCGGTTGGTTTGTTATATGTGAGTTTTTGTTATGTTTGGGGTTTATTTTTCTCAAAAAGCAATAAAGTTGGGTTGGGCTGGAGGGAAGGCAGGGATGGGCTGGTGGGAATTGAGTTTTCCTTTGACAAAAGACTAGTTTCTTTCCAAACTTGTGCAGTGGGAGTGGAAGGTGACGAAAAAGGTGGGTATGTGTGCTTTCAAAGAAGGCTCTGGTAGGCTCTTTGTGAAGGTGGGGGTGGGTGGTGGGGGTGGGTTGAGTGTTTACATGACATTCTAGATCACAAGATTGATAGAATGTTTATAACAGATGTTTCTTATCTTCCTCCCCCCACAAATAAAAGTCAAGACTTTGGGTAAAAGCTAACAGCCTGAGAAGTGATGTATGAAGTATCTTTGACACTGGTATGCGAATTCTAGTTTCCAACACACATCATTTCCTTCAGCTATCAGGAATATTTTAGGGTTGGGATTCTAAAGGGTGCATGGGAAGGCTGAGGGATGGGGGTGGGGTGGCCATGTATACCACATAAGTCAAATTTTCACTATCTACTGCTTCTTGATAATAATGTGAATTAAAAGCTAATAATCATCATAATAAAGTTCGTTTAATTATCTTCCAGAGATCTAGGCCTTTAATTGTATTTAATAGGGTTGTAACATTTTATTAGTTTAACCAAACCCTCAACCCCACCCCCTACCCCTGCCTGTTTTGGCGGGAGGTGGGGCAATAGGGTGGAGGGGTGGAGAGGCTGGACTCTCCCAGCTCAGTCCTGTCTTTTTAGCTGTATTGCTGGGGGGAAATGGTACCTAACCAGGCTTCTTTGGTTGTCTTTTGGAACCAGGGAGAAAGTTAGAACCTCGGCTTCAAAGTGTTTGTGTTAGTTTACGTTGGGGGGAGGGAAACTGGAATAGTTTGGTGGTAATTGAACTCATATGTAGGCCTTTGTTTGGAATTGTATGAAGCCTGGGGATTCCAGCAGAGCTCCACCCACCACTAAAGTGTATATATATATAAAGACGTATGCATATAATTGCCCCCAAATCGTACCATTTTAAGTTGAAACGAGCTATCGAATGGTGATCCATGTGCAGTCTGAACATGAGGCTCTTTCAACTATCAAAGAAGGTGGGGGGCAGCAGTGGTGTTGCTGCCCAATTCTGCAGGCTCCTCACAAGGGCCGCAGGAAAGAGTTAAGTTACAAACAAATTGTGAGGGCCTAGGAGTCAGAATTGACTCGATGGCGGGGAGGTATCCCCCGCCCCCCCACACACACACACCTTTCCCTCGGCTGGGTATAATGACCAGAGATTGAGGACTTTCACCTTGAGGGCAAGAGGAAATAGTGGACAACTGTCCTTTTCTTCCGAGTGGAGGTGGGAAGGAGGGCATTTGGGTCAAGATTGTTCTTTCTCCCTTCTCTCCAAACTCCCAATTACCTTAGAGTAGGGAGTGGAAGAGCCCCCCACCCCAGCTGCTCCTCTGCTGTAGTAAAACCTGCTTAGAAGAAGGGCAGCCCTCCCCTGCTTTGTAAGATCCGGGCGAGTGGGGAACAGTGCCATGGGTGTAGATCCAAAGGTGAAACTCCTGAGCTCACTGCTGCACCGGGAGGGGGTGGTGTCCCATTCCCCTGGCAGGAAAACCAGCTTAAAAGGTGTGCTCAGAGGTCTGTGTTTGCAGACCTCTAGGTCTCCTGACAGGAAACTTGCATGTTGTAAATTGTTAGTCCCTCAGGAAGAATAGGCTTTTTGTCTGGTGGAAGGGCAGGCCCAGAAGGAAACCCCTCACCTGAGCTCTCCCGCCCAACCCCAGGTCAGGTCTTTGACCTCATTTCCACAGATTCCCACCTTTCTCACTCCTGCCTGTCCTCCAAACCCACTCCCCTCACTGATCAGACTGTGCTTTCCTCCTCCCCACTCCAGACTCTGCTCCTGAAAGCCTTTCCACTAGTTCATTCCAAACTCTGTCCTTTAAGAGGATCCCGAGCCAGCCACAGAGAGGCCACTGTGGTTTTCTAAGACGCAATCCTGCGCACACCTCCAGAGGGGGGTCAGCTTCTGCTCTACAGGACTTACAGCTGCTGCTTCAGGATGACTCCAAAATGCTCCACAAGGGTGTCTGGGCCTAGGTTGGTTGGGGTGGGGAGACAAGGCCCCAGGGAGCAGTGGGGACACCTACCTGGGGCAGCAGAATCTAAGCTCCTGCCTGTCCAGAGGCCAGACATCCCCACCCCGGACTCATTTCTCTTCACATCGTAGAACTTCCTGGGCCCACTGACCCCTCTGAGAATCTGAAAAATCTTTGGACCTTCTGCTCAACCCCACATGAACACCAATTTTGCTTATAACTTCAAGAAGTTCCCCAAACTAGTCCTGGTCTAGACATTCTCCAGTCTTGATGACTTTTCTAAGGGACAGCTTTTCCCACCTCAGACTCCAGTGCCCCTCCATCTCGAGTCACCTTGGCTGTGGAGAAGCGAGATCAAGAGGGAAACCCCCCAAACCCAGGCGTTCTTGAAACCAGTTTATCCCCTCCTTCCTGCCCCTCACTCAGGTAGCAAGTTAGGCAGGTGTGGCAGGGGGGATGAATGTGTAATACTTCAGTCAGGGGAGAAAGGAGGGAGGGAGAGTGTGGAGAGCATGGAAGAGGGCCGTTCGGGTCGGCCCTGGCCCTGCTGCCGACCAGCTGTGAGCCTTTGCGATGTTTCACCTCTGAGCCCCAGTGCCCCCATCTGGAAAAAAATACGAAACAGCAATCTGCAGCACAAGACTGATGGTGACGTTTGAACTTGCCTCAGAAGACCTGTTTCTTTTTAAAAAGGTCTTTCTTGGGGGAAAAGCACTAGCACCCCTTGGGAGCAGCAGATAACCACAAAAAACTTCCTTGGGACGTATAGGCCGGAGGCACTGTGACTTAGGGTTCCCATGGCTGTAATCTGAGAGGGAGCCCACTGCCTCATCTTTCTCCCGCAGAGCACTGCTGACCTTTCCATTAGCCGCTGAGCTCTTAACCGCTGTGCCCTCAGACCTCGTTGGAGACCGGCTGATGTGTATACTCACTGCCATGGGGTTGATTCCGGCTCACAGCTGGCAGAGGGGAAGCTCAATAGATTGCATTTCTCTAGTTATTTGGGTACATTTCTAACAGGATCACGGGATCCAAAGACACATTTCAGGAAGACTTAAACTTCTGTAGTTTTAGCAGAAGAGAATCATCTGCTTCCAGCTTCCAGGTTCTTGGGGAAGGGGAGTAATGAGGTGGGGAAGGGAGTGTGTTCCCCCTTCCCTCTCCTCTGATTAGGACAGAAATGTCTTGGCCGCCTGAGCAAGGGAGCAAGCAAGGCATACTCAGCGGCTTCCTCTCCAGCAGCTTTGAAGCTGCTTAATTAGGGCTAGGGCCTTCACAGCTGGCTTCCCCTGTGCCTCCCCTGGCTCCTGCCCCATCCCCAGCTGCCTTGCCTGCAGGTCTTCCAAGCCATCTGGGAAGGACCCAAGATTTGAGATCGGGAAGGGCCAAGGAGAAGGCAGCTAAGAAAGGACAGGGTGGGACTTGGGACATGGAACTTCGGGGCCATTGCTCAGGCCTGGGACCCTCATTTGTCCTGGAGTCTGGGGAGGAGCTGGCCTGGGCTATGGGATTGAGCCCTAGGAACTTTGTTTGAAAGCCAAGCTCTCAGAAGGTTCCAGCCGCCTAACCCGGCCCTTATAATTAGCCCCAGTCAGAGTGTTTATGTCGGGGGGCCTTGTGCGGAACTCAGAATCCTGGTGATTTCATTCCAAACCTGGGGGGAGGAGAGGCAAGGGAGAGGGGTTTGTGTGGGGACAAGTAAAACGCAGGATGGGGCAGAGAGTCTGGGCCCCAAGGGTGAGGGGAAGAGGAGGAGGGCCCTCAGCTTGGCCCCTCCCTTTCCAGTGTAGTTGGGGCCCAAATCTGACCCAGGCTGGGGCTGCCCTTCTTCCCTTCCTGGCAGGCTCAGTGGGTGGGTGGGCTTATGCCAATCGGAAATGGCTTGGATATAATTAACCCCACTAATCACCAGCCTCAGCCTGGTGGGAGGGGAAGGGACAGCCTAGAGCTATGGTCCCCCGGGAAGTGCCAGTCTCCCCATTCTCCCTCTGAAAGGGCTTGGGGTGTGCCCAACTACAGAGCTGCTTTGGGTGGTGGAGTCAGGGTGGGCAAGGAAGGGCTGGCTGTGGGAAGGGAGGCTGCTCATGGTGGAATGTGACAGGAGGGAGGCTGCCTGAGGTGGCAGGCTGGGGAGCAACAGCAGGAATTGTGGGCAGGAGGGCTAGAGGGAGGATCCTCAGTCACTGCTCCCAGGTGGCACTGGGTGTGTCCAAGGCTGAATTCTCCCATTTCCCTCCAGTCTGGGCCTCACAGGGAACTCACATCTCCCATTAAATTCTTTATACTAGGTTTGGTGTCCTGTTGAGGGGGAGGGTGCCTGCACTTGCAACCAGGATTGTTTAAAATCATACCAGGCTT